TGGATTACAACTCCAACATTCCTGGGCTGGATCACTTTTGTAACTTGAGGGATAGTCAGATAGATGATGATTGATTATGGAGTAGATCTAACCTTGGAAAGCACCCTTCTTAAAGACCCAAGAGATATCCCAGTGGAAGTAAAGGTAAAGGTTCCCTTCACATATGTGCTAGTTGTTCCTGCCTCTAGGGGGTGGTGCTCATCTCCGTTTCAAAGCCGAANAGAGTCAGCATATCGCCCCCACAGTCTGGGTCCTCATTTCACCCACCTCGGAAGGATGGAAGGCTGAGTCAACCTTGAGCCGGTGAGATTAGAACCACTCAACTGCAGATAACAGTCAGCTGAAGTGGCCTGCAGTACTGCACCCTAACCACTGCGCCACCTCGGCTCCTACAAGAAATTGGGCAGGTCAGCTTCTGGGAGCTTTGACTATGTCCCTGCTACTTGAAGAATGAAGGACAGGTATGAAGAAGGTGCAGGACACAGTAAGGAAGGTGAGTGTTGGAAACTGAAGGAGGAAGGGGATGAAATTAGTGGCTTCTATGGGGGAAACAGTAGGAGAATCCCCTTTAGACAACAGAGAGAGGAGGGCGGGAGGGATAGAGAGAGGAGGAGGGAGGGAGAGAAAGAGAGAGAGGGAGATTTTGAATGGAGCAGGAGAGGTGCCTTTCTGCTGTGAAATGTATACCACAGAAATGAAATAGGTCTTTAAAAGTGAGCAACCAGTTGAGGCACGTCAGTCAGAGGTGGTATTCAGCAGGTTTTGACCAGTTCTGGAGAACCAGTAGCGGAAATTTTGAGTAGTTCCGGAGAACTGATAAATACCACCTCTGGCTGGCCCTGCCCACATCTATTCTCTGCCTCCTGAGTCCCAGCTGATCGGGAGGGAATGGGGATTTTACAGTATCCTTCCCCTTGCCACGCCTACCAAGCCACGCCCACCAAGCCACACCACATCCACCAAGCCATGCCCACAGAACCGGTAGTAAAAAATTTTGAATCTCACCACTGATGTCAGCCCAATGTGGCACATCAGACAAAGAAGCGAATACCATATAGCCAGGGCTACTGTTACAGTAACAGCAGTTAACAGAAGCTTGCAAGTCTGAATGTACTTCTTCATGTGAAGTAGGAATGGGCTTTTCTTGGTCTAGGATCAAGCCCCTCTTATTGATCATTACCTTGGTAGCAGCTCTTCCTCCTGTCCTCCAAGTTCCCTCTATTCCCCTTGCCTTCTATAAGGCATGTCTGAAGGGCAAGGAGGCCATCGGAAGATAACCCCCCTGCTCCCAATGTTGCAGGTCTTTGTTCCCTTTAAGAGTTTCTTTTCCCAAGCTTGCTTTGTCCTTGTTCCTGTCCTCCCTTGATGGCCTCACACTGCTACCTTTTCACTCCATGGTACTGGAGATATCAAGAATTCAATTTGCTCTCTTGTCTTGCATTTTGCAAAGGCACCTAATTGTTAACTCCCCCGAAAACAGATTGGGTTAGTTTTGATAATAAACTTAGGCTAATAACAGGGACTCAAAGGCATGGTATATAATGTCTTTGCCTTGCTCTTCTTCTTGTCCCAACCAAGGGAAACAAAATAATACATAGTGAGCACAATCAGAAAAATAAATGGATATACTTGTACCCCACCTCTCTTCCTCCCTCCCTCCCTCCCTCCCTCCCTCATCTCTTCAGCCATAAACTTCATAATCACTGGAAGGTTTAGAGGTGGTCAAGCTTTTTGTAGCCAAGAGCCTTACTTTACTTCTTTTTTTTTTTTAAGAAATGAGAGTAGTAAAGGGGTTGGAGAAGCGGCTCATGTGGTTGGAATAGATCTGAAAGAGCCTTTATTGCTTTGGACCTGTGTGTCACAGGCCTCTTTCAGGACTTTACATTTCATTTTGCAAGTTTCCCACCTCAAGATGGTGAGAAATGGCATTGTCTGCTTTTAAGCCCATGCTTCCAGAGACCCCACAAAGAAGAATGGGGCTTTAACAGACACCCCCCTAGGAGGGGGAGGATTGAAATTCCTCTTCTTCTTCCATTTCCTTTTATCATGTTAATACAGTCACATATCTGCCAGCCTTCCATTGTCTAAGTCTCTCAGGGTTGTAATTCTAGCATGGAAAAAGGGGTCACGGGTGACCCCAGAAATTAGTGCCTGCATTCATGGCCTAATGGATACCGTGTCTCTTATTTCAACATCAGGAGCTTTTGCAACAGACAGAAAACAATGCTATCAATTTGTCTAGAGCCTCGAATAACATTTGTGTGTGAGTGTCTCTGACTTGACAGAAATCCACAACTACTCTCTTCTAAAGTTTCCTTTCTTTTACATCCCCACTATAAGCCATCATCTCAGGAGACTGATTGAAATCTGTGTGACCCTGACTCTTCTGAAATAAAGGTAAAGGTTCCCTTCAGACATATGTGCTAGTCATTCCCGACTCTAGGGGGCAGTGCTGATCTCTGTTTCAAAGTCGAAGAGCCAGCGCTGTCCAAAGACGTATCTGTGGTCATGTGGCCAGCATGACTGGATGCCGAAGGCGCACGGAACACTGTTACCTTCCCACCAAAGGNTATCCCAGTGGAAGTAAAGGTAAAGGTTCCCTTCACATATGTGCTAGTTGTTCCTGCCTCTAGGGGGTGGTGCTCATCTCCGTTTCAAAGCCGAAAATCCAGCGCTGTCTGAAGACATCTCTGTGGTCATGTGGCCAGCATGACTTAATGCCGAAGGCGCACGGAACGCTGTTACCTTCCCACCAAAGGTGGTTCCTAATTTTCTACTTGCATTTTTACATGCTTTCAAACTTCTAGGTTGGCAGAAGCTGGGACAAGTAACGGGAGCTCACTCCGTTGCACAGCGCCAGGGATTTGAACTGTTGACCTTTCTGATCAACAAGCTCAGTGTCTTAGCCACTGAGCCACCACGTCCCTTTCAGTGGGAGTAGAGTTGCTTTTATTCTGAAGGCAACCAGCTTCTTTTTCAAAAGGAAGTGGATTGGACTCAGTGCTTAAATCATCTCTCTTGAAAGGTCCATCTTTAGGATGGAGAATCAGGTCCTGAATTTCCTCTGTGTTATTGAAATGTAATCCTGTTGCTAAAAATAGGGCCATTTTTCAAATCTTGGACTCATGTCACTTCAACTATCTCCCCCCACCACTTTCTAGTCCAGCTGCACAAGAAATGGAAGAGTTCATCTGTCTCTTTTTCAATGCAGATTCACAAAGTGATGTGCAAGTTGTGATTTCTCTTGAACTTTGGCTTGTAATGTGCTTTTAAAAGCAACACAGGATCACCACCACTACAAAGAAAACATGCAGCCAAATCTAAATGGGACTTGAGGGTAAGATGATGGCTAGATTAGAGCCACATTCCGCACAATCATTTTTAAACAACTGAATGTTGTAACCTCAACAAATGAGGCCAACCATGTTTAGCATTTCATGCTAAGTTAAACCCAAATAAAACACTTTATAGGGGTTAGCATGTTGTACTAACCAACTTGTAATTTCAAGGGCAACACAATCACTGTCACAACAATTATGTCCATTGCTATGTTTTTTGAAGAAGTAACATATTTAAACTTTCTACCCTACACTGCTTCTTTCGGTGCTATAAAATCCAACTACCTAGGGTAATTTTTCCATAAGACAATTGGAACCATTATTTATTATTTTGAAATTGCAAGTTATAATAGTTCTAATAAGGACTGGATTCAAGAGATGTGCATCCGCTTTAGGAAGGCAATTTTATCTATTAGTGGCCAATAACTAGGTGTTGCCCCGGTATTTATTTATTTGGGGCGAAATGTCCAGACCAAATGTAATTTCTAATGTTGGATTTTCCCCCTTACCAGACGGAGGCCTCTTGTGGAGTACTGTGAAGCCGTTACCATAGAACTCCACTGCACTGTACAGTAGAGGTCAGTACAGCAGTACAGCACAACAGGCTGTATCTTAACAGAACATACACCCAGAGAGGTGTTAGGGGTGTCTTACCCCCCACAGTATTTGTTTCCAGAGAATAAGTCATCTGTGTACCAAGTTTGGTTGAAATTGCTCGAGGCATTCGAGTTATGGTGGAACAAACACACACATACATACATACACAGTTCTGCGGTACAAATTTTATGCTATTTTGTAATGTTAATACAATTATTATGCCCTCAGATAGATTTAGACATTTGTTTGACATTTGTTTAAATGTGACACATAGTAATGATGGGTTTCCCCTTTTCCGCTCTTTATAGTTTTTCTATTTCTTTCTGAAAAACTTAATAAATTATGATGAACAGGCCCACGAAGACGCGGGGAACATTCCTCCAGGCCACCAAACGTCTTCCCAAAGGCTGCCTCTATTCCAGAGAAGAAAAGGTTAAACTCAGCCTCCCCATCTGTACTTGACACCCCCCCCCCCATCGTCTGTCTCCAGAAGCCGGGGAACGTAATTGTTTCCTTGCGCAGAATCTCTCCTGCCCCCTCCTCTCCGCCAAAGCCGGGTGTGTGTGTGTGTGTAGGAGCTTAATAGAAACCAGACTTCTAAGGAGAGGGAGATTTCTTCCCCGCCATCACTGTCCGCCTCGAAGTGCTTGGCCAGCTGTTTTTCTCAGGATGCGGGGAACGGAGGAGGCGAGAGCTTTGTGCTGCCCTCTACCGATCAACACCCAGGGAAAGGCGAGCTCGCTTTCCTCCGGAGAAGCGGGCGGTGCCGATTCCCCGTACGTGGGGCCGGTTTTTGTTTTTCCTCTCCCCCCCCCCCCGCCGGATTTTCGCTGCCCTACTGTAATAAACTTTCTTAAAACTTGATGCAGAATGCGGATCCTTCCCGCCTGGGCCGAGATCGATTCCCCACTGGGGGAAAGCGAATCGGGACGCCCAGCGGGCCAGGAAGGCTGAACCCGCCCGCAGCAGCGACTGCGGATCCACGTCCCGGCTCTCGCGTTCTTCCCTGCCCTAAGCAGATGTAGGATTTAAAGCGCCACGAACGACTTCTCGGGCTGCCTTCTCCGATATAGAGCTGATTAGATTAGCCTGGAAGCTTTCGCGGCTTCTCTGAGATGCCAGACTAGCGTGCATTCACGTGCCTCGTCCACTCGTGTTGGAAGTGACGTCCCTTCTTAGCCCTTATAAGTTTGGCAAGCGGGAGGGTCGCGCGTCATTCCTCGGCTGGACAGGCGGGTGAGTCGCTCGCGTGTTCGAGGCATTTGCTGGCTAGTTGTGAGTTGCTATTTCCCTCCGCCTGGGAATCTCCCCCCCCCCCCTTCATGGCAGGGAAAGCCAAAACGATTGGCAGCTTTGCAATAGTGGCGAATAATTGGCAGGCTATTCTAGATGGGGCCGAGCGATTACTAGGAATTTCGGAATTCCATGAGGCAGTTCGAGGAGGGAATAATTTATTGCGCCCACCCGCGCCCTATTCCATCTTTAAACCGAGGTGTAAATGAAATGTTTGGTTTCCCAAACCACGGCTACAGGAGCCCAACCTGAGAGCCCCAGGATGTAATTACCGCTTGTCGGAGCTAAACCTGGCTAGTGACTTACTTAGAGCTTTAGATACGATCTAAATAATATAGCATTTCCTAATCCTTGTAAGGCAGGGAGCTGTGCTGTATAAAGCCTCGGGTACTTTTCAGTCATGCTGTGTATATTTTAAAGATATTTTAAAGATATATAAATATATAAAAATGAGACTTGGCACATAATTTAGGGTTTTTCACAATGTGGTTGTTAATATACAGTATATTATAATATAAACAGGGCCACAGCAATGATGGTTACCTCTGCGGAGATCCAGCTCAAAAGAGTTAATAGTCTCTGCTTCCATAGGTGTCTTTATGAAAAGCATTCTGATTAAAGGTACATGAGGCTCTAGGTGATTTTGCCATTGTGCTCCAAAGTATTTTATTTCATGTTTAGTGAGATTGAAAATTTAAAACCAACACATCTTGAATCTTCTTGCCTCTTTCTTGGATATCCTGATGAGCACTTCTTCCATTCTAATAAGATGCGAATACATTTGTTCATTATGTGGCTAGCAGGAAAACAATTCAATGGTTTCCTATAAATTGGGAAATCCTGCAAGATTGTTAATATGGGCCAATGAGTTTAAATGTTATTTAAATATGTGAACAGCTTCCAAGAGCCAAGCGAGGAAAAGTGGATTACCTAAATTAGGAAAGTTTATTGCCCACAGAAGCTGTTGAATTCCAACTCTGATCAGCCCATTTTGAATTATGGAAACTGTAGTCCTGCATTACATCTGCAGGGTAAAGGCTTTGCTCCTCAAACGTACGTAAATGAAACTGAAATATGAAAAACAAAGTGGTCAGTTAATTCATATTCTTTATTTTTTTATGAATAGTGATTGGATCTTTTTGTGCTGAAAGATCAGATGCTGAGAACACTTTAAAGCAACTCCTTTTCCCTATTCTTTGTTCGGACATTTTAATTCTCAAATGGTTCTAGTTTTCCTGTGTAGGATTCTCCCTTACTTTCCAATAGAGGGAAAAAAGGGGAAATGTCTCGAGTTGGAAATTGCTATACAATAGATTTTACCATATGTATAGCCCACTTTTATTTTTATAAACATCTCAAATGGCAAACATACCTGACACACCTTCCCATTTTCTATGCAACAACTACTCTGAGAGGTGAGTTGGGCTGAGAAAGAGTATGGTAACTGGCCCAAGATCATCCAGCTAGCTTTCATGGCTAAGGTAGGACTAGAATTCACAGTCTTCTGGTTTTTAGCCTGGTGCCTTAACCACTGGACCAAACTGATTCTCTATAATTGTGCCAAAGTTTAAAGAAGAATCACAGTATTCATTTTTTTAAAAAATTGGCTATTCTGCAAGAATAATTTCGACACTTTTCTATTAAAATAAATGGCTAAATGTCTTTCAGAATAACTTTGCTCTGGTTTGTTCTCTGAAGCCTAATGTGAAATGCTATTCTTTCATAGCTACTTACAATTCAGATAGAAGTAGTGTTGCATTATAGGAGTAATATTGGAAACCAAGGTGACTGTCTTTGGCTACCTGCAAATCCAGCCAAATTTACTATTTGCGCATCGGGGTGTGCTGCAAGAGCATGCCCCGATGCGAAAAACACAAAGATCGGTGCGCTTGGGGCTGCTGCTGCGACGT